CGATCAACTTCTCATTTCCCGCACACCTCGGCTGATCATCTTCTCATTTCCCGCACACCCTAACCGATCAACTTCTCATTTCCCGCACACCTCGGCTGATCATCTCATTTCCCGCACACCTCGGCTGATCATCTTCTCATTTCCCGCACACCCTAACCGATCATCTCATTTCCCGCACACCTCGGGCGATCATCTTCTCATTTCCCGCACACCTCGGCTGATCATCTCATTTCCCGCACACCTCGGGCGATCATCTTCTCATTTCCCGCACACCTCGGCTGATCATCTCATTTCCCGCACACCTCGGGCGATCATCTTCTCATTTCCCGCACACCTCGGCTGATCATCTTCCCGTGATTTTACATTTCTAATTGTCTTCTATTTCATCCTAAAATAAAAGCTAAAATATTTCCGTGGTGTGTTGTGTTCGGGGTGATAAAGGAGAACTCTGCCAGCAATCCTTTTTTCTGTAATGTCCACTTAACACCCCCCCATTATACCCCCACCCGCCCAACCCAGTGCTCTCATTGATAGGAAACAATCAGGGCTTATGTATCAATCAGGATGCTGGTTCCGCACCAGAGACATGATGGTTGCTAACGGACCGGTTGCTATGGGAACAAGACATTTATTTGCCCCTTATTCATACATAAGGCTCCTCCCACTCATCTGCCTGTCATTGGAAGTAGGTCCTAACCATGTATACATGAAAGCTGGAACCCCCCTCTGTACATGAGTGGGCTGTGCTTGTTCTGGTCAGACACTAGATCAGGGGTAGCCTAACCTCAGCCATCCAGCTTTGGGGAAACTACAAATCCCATCAAGCATCTGCCTCTGGAAGTCATGCCCGTGGCTGGCATGTGATTTGTAGTTTCACCACAGCTGGTGGGCCGGCTGCCCCTGCGCTAGATGATGCTGTACATCCAAGTGTAGGATCTGAAGCACCAGAGATGCTGGGGATGCCATAGTTTACACAACGCTCTCTCCTGCTGAGAGTAAAGCAATGGGAACCATGATTGGGGGTGTTTGGGTCGCCAGTGGGACCCACGTTCAGATTTCGGCGTTCTTCTTTAATAACATAACAAATGCAGAGGACAGAGACGCCGACATCATACAAAGTTTAATGACATAATTTCCACTCAGATTACAGACATCATGAAACACGTTCTGTACATGACGGCAGCCATTCCGGTCCCTGCACGAGTCATCCGCCGGTACGATTTATAGGGAAATAAGCAGGACTTTCATAGTGCACCTGGAGGCGGGATCACATGGACACACATAGCAGCTTTTCCCTCCATTGTGTCCCATTACAGCTCGCACAGTCCGCAATGTGTACGGCAAGCCGAGGACAAAGGCCGAGTCACTGTCATTGCCTGGGGTCACCTGCAGATGATCTTTCCTCCAGGACTTGTTCAGTCCTGTGTCTCTATGCAGAGGCAAGCGGCCATCTTGGGAGAGGCGGGGCTTTGCCTCCCTATGTCAGAGCTACCCCCCCACCTCTGATGACTGGTGGGGTGATGATAGAGGTGGAGCAAGCACAGATCCACAGAATGGATGAAGGAGAAGCAGGGAGTTCCTGGCACTGCAGGTCCTCAGGTACGGCTTCCTCTCCGGCAAGGAGAACAGTGACCCGGCACAGGAGTGACATCACCAAATCTCCGGGGAGGAGCAGTCAGGCAGCATTCCCTAAATCTTCCCCCCCTCCCCAGCGGCAAGCAGTC